CTTCTCATCATTTTCCTTAGAAAGTTGAACAGTGGCGCAAGAAAACGTAGGAACGTGGAAAAAGGAAATCTTTGACCCTTTAACCCTGCTAGAGCCGACCATGCCACTCGTCCTGAAGGCACGCTCTCGTCAGTCGTCGAAATATTTCGTCGTCAGACCGAGGTCTGAATTTTACAATCCTTCGTCAACCAGAGTCCAGTCTTCTCTTCCCTTCGAACTTTTCAAGATCGAACCCAGCTAGTCCCATCGGCGATTCTCTGGACACGATGCACGCCCCCTCGAGACAACCCCTTCCCCTCCCCCCTCCCTCTCCGCGTGGAAAAAAGAAAAAGAACGCGTTTCCCTTAGCGGAGATGAAGATCTCCATCGCGTCGTCGAGAAAGCGATTTATCATCATCGTCCTCTCCGCTCCTTCATTCTCCTCGACTGGCTGCTACTCGCAGCTTGGCTCGCAGTCGACTCGAGGCTGGGTGGTTAACCACGCGCGTTATTGTTAAACGGAATTATTTATTTACATCGTCTTGCATCGTCCTCCCCGGAAACCACATGATCACAGCCACTCGGTGAGGCAGCCACCGAACCACATCACCACTATGGGCACGAGATACGTTGTCAAAGCACGCGACAAGGATATTTTCTGTCTGCTCGCGCCATTGTCCACGCTGGACGTCTTGTTGTTGCTGTTGATACTCGTCTTCTGCTCTACGTCCACTCTGGGTGGCACGACTTCCGGATGATCGATCGGAGGAGACTGTTTCGGTACTTCGGGCGGCGAGGACTTCGGCTCGTAGCCGGAGCCTTCCTTGAAACCGTCCTCGTCGTCGGTGATCGGATCTTGATCCGTGCCGTCGCCGGACCCGCTCCCGGAACCGTTCCACTCGGTGTCCTCTGAAAATTAAAGTGTCACCCGGTGACGGTAAGTTGAGCAGTAAATCCAGGAGGTCGAAGGATACGAGAGGAGAGGATCTCTTCTTGGAAGGTTGATCCAGACGATGGTTTAGGTTTCATTGGTAGACAAGGTTTAAGTCTGATTAGGTAGATTAATTAATGGATTTCGAGGATGTGGTTGAATTAGTAGAATTGAAGAGTTTTATTATCACATTACAGGAAGAGTTGAAGTGCTTCTTAAAAGTATTATGTTTCCTCAAGATCTCGATCGTGTTGTTTAATAGGTATCTTTCCAGTGATGATTGAAGATTGAAGAATTTTATTGTTAAATCACTTTGAACGTGTAAAATTGATAACTCTTTTTTCATATAGTAATTATTCTTTTTCTTAGCCGAAAATTAGAGTATCAGTGGGGATGAATTAATACAACGATGGTGATGGTGATGGAGAGGAACTCTTGGAAATCTGGTAGATCTGACCGATGGTTAAGATTAATATGGTCGATTAATTGGCGAATTTGAAAGATGTCGGTTGAATTGATGGATTTGAAAGAGGTGATTGAATTGATGGAAGAGTTATGTTCTGCTTGGAGATGTTATGTAGATTTTCTCGAGCTCTCAATCATATTGTTTAGATATCTTTCTAATTGAAGATTGACTTAGGAATTAGATCATTTTAAATTCTTCTTTCATGTTCTTCTTTTTCATTCAAAATATAGTACATATTTATTTTTCTTTCTTGTAAAATAGAATTAGAAGAAAGATGAATTGAGCAGTAAATGATAGTGATGGAGAGGCGAGAATTATTTCTTGGAAATGTCCTTCGATTTGGATCATTAGGTTGAATTGATGGAGGAGTTTTAGTTTTAGTGAAGGACTTGAAATTCTTCTTAGAAATTGTCATAATCAATGTGGATTTCCTTGAGCTTTTGATCGTGTTGTTTAGCAAGTATTTTTCTGCGATCATTTTTCTTAGTATTTTTCTTCTATAGAGGACTTTTATTCAATGATGAGAAAGAAAATTATGTTTGTGATCAATGCTTACAGAAGTTGAGTTTGTGATCCAAGTTTCAAGATAAGATAAGCAATACGTTACAGTATGTAATCTGTTTCTCTTGTTACGTCTTCTAGGATATAATTTACTTCGTGTACAGTTATTCATCTTTGAAATTTAATATTAATAAAATAAAATACCTATTCTATCATTCTTTCTTTAAAATACTTTATTAGCTACATTGAGGACTCAGCAATAATTTATCATAATATTATACTTCAATTTCTTCATATTTCATCTACACTCCATTCAAAAATCTGGGACATTTAATATTTCAAAAGAAATCTTCTTTCGGTAAATAAACATCTTATTCACAATGCTATTTATTATTCATAGAAGAAAAAAACGATCACACGTCTCTCATTAACTGGAAATCTTTATCAAAGTCAAGCACGTTTAAATAAATTAGTTACTACATAAAATATCTACTGAATCTTCGTTTAATAAAACAAATTTATACGAAATACTAATATACTGAAATAAAAGAATCTTTGATCTTTTATTTCAAACGCAATTTCTATTTTGAAAGGGACAAAGATGGGACATCATTATCATATATCATAGAGCTATAAACCACTGTAATATATCACATCCCCTAATAAATAATAAAAATGATGAAAATTGTTGATGAATAATAATGCAATAAATTAATATAAAGAGATCAGTGACGAGTAACATGAATTGAGTTTGAAAGAGGTATTTCCATTTAACCAACTAATCGCTCAAATTCAATTATCTTTCTGCATATACTGATATTGATTCTCCTATTAATCAAATCTATCACTTACGCGTTTGCTACTATGTTCCATCGAATGTTAATTACACAGCTGTTCCACGAAATTTAATAGCAATTTAATATTGGTGAAATTCTTGGTTTCAGGATATTCTAATTGTTTCGTGATTTTCATCTCATTGATGATAATTGGATTTAACGATAGGATGGATGAGACATTAGCAGAGCAAACCTGTGTCTATCCAATCGACGTCCTGTCCGTTGTACGCGGACTTCAGTCTGTTCGTGATGGTGGTCAATGCGAAGACCTGGTCCCTGACTATCGTCGGCCTTGTCCCGGTGACTCGTACTTCTGGATTCAATTTTTGCTCCTCCCCGTTCGAGGACACTGGGTAAATGTATCTGAAACACGAAGCAAAGATAAGAACTCAGAAATCAGAACGTTAAGTTGAAATTTGGATAAATATTGGGAGATTGAAATTTCAATCAATTTACAAATTACAATTTACAATTGGCTGTGAATA